CACACACCCAGTGGAACCTTTGGGGCAACAGAGGGTGAGAGGAAAAATCAAGGCCTCCAGACCCCAAGCTGCAGACCCCACAGACAAGCTGCCAAGAGAAGCAAAGCCAGAAAACCCAAGCGGAGGCAGGTTATTTCATCAGCATCCAGCTGGTTAAAAATAACTTCACTTATTAGTTTAAGTGAGATCACCACAGGGCTGGAAACTCACTGTCAGTGAAACAAAAATACCGAAAGGAAAATGAGAAAAGTCTACATTCACGATGAACTTTATTTCTATAAAGAAACACAGGAGGAAGCTGCCTGAACATTCCGCAGGCTCTGCTTTCCTTCTGGGCTCTTTAGGAGGCACATGTCTGCCAGTTTTGGAATTAGCCCTCTTCGTCCTTCCAGTCTTGCCAAAGAGAAGCAGCTTAGTGCCGTGCAGCATCACTGGGACAAAGGCAAGCTTTGCAGGGATACTGCAGGGGCGTCTGCTGAGCTGGACCTCACCTACACTCACGCAGGAGCCTCCCGGCACAGCCTGTTCTCCTCGGCTTCTGCCAAGGCGCTGCACCTTCCTCCAGCAGATTTCCCTTGTTGACTGTGCTGTCGACAAAGCCTCTACTGAGGAAAAGCAGCAACTCTGCTGAGAAGGGCGGAGGGCCCTGTGGGAGCCGTTCACATGCTCTTTCTAAAGGAGAAAAGGCAGAGGGACAGGGATAGAACTCTCTCTGAGTGACTTTAACAGGGCATCCATCCTGCTTTTCTGTTAAGTCTCAGGAAAACAGCCCTGTGGCCCTCATGCCATCTGAGCAGGCATTCCTGGGTCCTCTTCATGGCTCACCTGAAGCTTCCTCACCAATCAGCCCCAGCAGGACCAAGACTCCTGTCCAGCCCTTGCTTTGGTGGCAAGGGGCAGCCAGGCTAGACTGGGGGTGAGCTGCTCTGGGCTGCTGGGTCCCTGAGCACTGCAAATGTGAGGAGCCACACACACTGCCCGCTCTGTTCAAACAGCATCCAGTCTGCACACACCCGCCAACAGGTGTCACGGGAGCCTTGGCACAGGCCTCATCTAAAGCTGTTCTGCTCCGCTCACACGTGGGCATGAGCTCAAGGAGCCCAGAAGCCGCCGACAACATAGACACTCTGCCTCTGGAATACATCCGGATGGTTTGCTGCTGAGCCTTCTGGCCCGCCGGGCTGAGTCTCAGCATCCAATGGGCTCCCTCCAACTGGCTCGCCATGACTCAGTGTTATTTGCTTTTTAGGTTTATTTTTGTCTGATGCTGTTGATGTTTTTGGAGGCGTATGTAGACCATTTGCCGTTGTTGTTTGAGAGAGGGCTAGGGTCCCACTCTGTTGCTCGGGCTGGAGTGCAGTGGCATGATCATAGCTCACCGCAGCCTCAACTCCTGGAGTCCAGAGATCCTCTCGCCTCAGCCTTCAGAGTAGCTGGGACTGCAGGGTGCACCAACATGCCCGGCTAATTTTTTTATTTTTTGAAGAGATGGGCTCTTGCTGTGTTGTCCAGGCTGGTCTCAAACTTCTGGGCTCAAGTTATTTTTCTGCCTTAGCCTCCCGACATGCTGGGACAACACGCATGAGCCACCATGCCTGGCCTGAGCTTTTTGGTTTTTTTTTTTTTTGAGACAGTTCTGCTCTGTTGCCCAGGATGGAGTGCAGTGACATGATCTCAGCTCACTGCAACCTCCACTCCCTGGGTTAAAGCGATTTTCATGCCTCAGCCTCCTGAGTGGCTGGAATTACAGGCACGCGCCACCATGTCTGGCTACAGCCTGAACTTTTAGACATTTTAAATTTTTATATAATTTCAAAGTGACATAAACATTATAAAAGCAAGGAACCCACCCTTTATGCAGGTTCACCAATGTGTTTTCATTTTGCCCGTTTGCTTTATCATTCTCTTCTCTCTCTTCCTCCCTCCACACCATGCACACACACTTGTGTATACATATATATGTGAATATTATATATATATATGTATCTATAATTCTTTTTTGAATCATTGGAGAGTAAGTTGTAGAGACACTGTCCCTTTGTCCCTAAAAACAAGGATATTCCATTACATAACTGCTGTACAGTTATCCAAATCAGAAAATTTAAATGTTGATACAGTACTATTATTTAACTCACAACCTGTATTCAAATTTCATCAGTTATAGATATTGTTTCCTAGTTCAGGATACCATCCAGGATCACAAATTGCATTTCATCGTCAAGTCTTTTTAGTGTATCTTAATCTAGAACGGTTGCTTAGCCTTTCTTATTCTTTACTTTTTTAAAAAAAGAGTAGGATGTTCTTCAATTTGAGTTTGGTTAAGGTTTCCTTGTGATTAGATTCAGTGACACATTTTTGAAAGGAATATGCATAAAAATGAATCACTGAATTGATGTGTTCTTTGAGTGCAATGTGTCATCAACATTGAGTTGTCCATGACTGAAATCTGGAGTCACTATCATGACATTGACTTTGGTGCCCTATGCAACATGAATGGATGTTCTCAACCTCTGGCTTCATGCACTACAGTTGTGGGCAAAAGGGGCACACACTTGCATACATATAACTTGCTTAATGGTCTGTGAGATGGAAAGTCCAGGCTGGCCTGTTGGGTGAGGAGGAACACATGTCTCAGTTGCCCTTGTCACCCAAGCCAACAGCCAGCCAACTCACAGGAGCCAGGCTACCTAGCCAACAGCAGCTGACCACGGACTTACGAATGAGTCCCACCAAGACCAGCAGAAAAGCAACCAAATGGGTGGTTTACAAAACTGTAAGACAAATAAACAGTGGCAGTTTTAAGCCACTACAATTTGGGGTGATCTATCAGCTAGGAAAAGCTAACTGATATCTCCTGTTCACTGGAGAAAGAAATAAGACTCAGAAACCCTACCTATTTCTTTGACATGACTGAAGAGAAAAGGTTTTCCTGTTTTGCTTCTGGCTCTGTTCTGTCTCCTTCTGTTTATGTGACCCTCTGCTTATGTTTAGAATTTAAAAGACTATTTAAATTTACTAATGTGGGCCAGGTGCAGTGGTTCATGCCTGTCACCCCAGGATATTGGGAGGCCAAGGGGGGTGGATCACCTGAGGTTAGGAATTCAAGACCAGACTGGCCAACATGGTGAAACCCAGTCTGTACTAAAAATACAATAAATTAGCTGGGTGTGGTGGAACACACCTATAGTCCCAGCTACTTGGGAGGCTGAAGCACGAGAATCACTTGAACTCAGGAGGCGGAGGTTGCAGTGATATGAGATCACGCCATGCACTCCAGCCTGGGCAACAAGAGTGAGACTCTGCCTCAAAAAAAAAAAAAAAAAAAAATTACTTGTGTGTGTGGGGCAGAGGTGGGGGAGGTTTAAAGAAAAAAAAAAACATAGATACAGCTCTCCCTGAATTTGTTGAAAACAAGGTCACATCTCTCAGTTGCCTGAATGAACCAATGATGGCAGGAGACTCTGCCAACACCCTTCCATAGAAACCAGCAGATGCAGAGCCCTTCCTAGAGAGGGACCCTGGAATAGAAGAGCCTTAGGGTTCACCATGACCCTTACTTTTACCAACTCCTCTGACTCCTTTCTTGGAGATGAGGATTTGGTGCCTCTGGGCTGCAGCCAGAGGATTTGGATTTTCAACAAGTTCTTCTGGTGTTTCACGTCCTCGGGGAGTTTCGGGAACACTGCATTATAGAAAGAGTTCCCAACCTGGGCTGCACATTAATATCACAGGGAGGTTTGAAAAAGCCAGAACATTTAAATCAGAATCTTCAGGGCACTGAGGCACCAGTATTTTTTAATACCACCCCTGCCCACTCCCACCAGTCCAGTCTGCAGCCAAGAAGAACCTGTGCTCCTTTCTATGACTGATGAGTAAGGAGCTCGCTTCCCCCCTCTCCCATTCACACCAATATTCCTTTTCAGCCGCACGTGTTTCTGATAACAGAGGTGTACTTATGTTGGTGCATACAAAATGCGGCCCTGGAGGCTTCTTTATGGTTTTCTCCTCACCACTCAGCTGATTTCCCAATAGGAATTTGAATTTTCCTTACTGTGAGCAGTTCCCTAAATCCTATAAATTTCTTTTTTGGGAAAACAAAGAAAAAATATATATATAATCAAAGTTTTGCTCTCGTTGCCCAGGCTGAAGTGCAATGGCGCGATCTCGGCTCACCACAACCTCCACCTTCTAGGTTCAAACCATTCTCTTGCCTCAGCCTCCCAAGTAGCTGGGATTACAGGCATGTGCCACGATGCCCAGCTAATTTTGTATTTTTAGTAGAGACAAGGTTTCTCCATGTTGGTCAGGCTGGTCTTGAACTCCCAACCTCAGATGATCAGCCTGCCTCAGCCTCCCAAAGTGCTGGCATTACAGGTGTGAGCCACAGCACCTGGGCTATTTTTTTTTAGTGTACTGTCCAATATGAAGAGAGACTGAAGGGCAAGCTTTGAACATCAGCAGCTGTACGAGATGCTGCCAGGGCTCTTCCAATATTCTCTAGATACCTTTGCCACCCCCATGCACAGGGGCTCTGGGTAGGCACCTTTGCCTCTTTGTTGGAGAGGGTGGCACTCAGGATTCAGAGACCTTTTGCCTGTGCCCACACAAAAAACAGAAGAGCCTGGGAATTTCTATCTCCTGAAGCAACCCTTCACCCATGACTGATGGGTGTGGTATAAATACTCCAGCCCCCTCACCCCAATCAGAAAAACTGTGGTTACATACATATACTATCTCCAGGGGTTCTTGAGTCACTGAGCCAAAGTTACCCACCACCTCACCACCACTGTGAACTCCGCCTAATGTTGCACTGATGCGTGATCCCCTTTCCCTGTCTTGTCCACTTCCCCATCGCCCTATTGGCTTTTCTTCGGAGGACTTCCTGATACACCATGTCTAGTAAATCCTCATTTCAAGGTTTTCTTCTAAAGAAACTGATCTAATATAGCAACCCCCAAGAGCACACCCTCCAGCACCTTTAAAAAGACTCTGGCACTCACCTTCATCCTTAATACAAAGGGCACTGTACGTGCCACCAGGAACTGGGTTGCTCTCAATCCTCACATCGACAGCTCTCATGATTTGCTGTTCTCCACTTCCTTTGCTACACATGGTTGTTCTGAAATAGACAAAAAAAGACACCGTGTGAGGAGAACTCTGGGCTGAAAATAATAATAAGGAATAATTCTCTTCTGCTGTCAGCTCTGGCTGAAAGCATTAATCTGGACCCATTCTCTGCAAAAAAAAAAAAAAAAAGGTCTAAATTCAGAAATACAGCTGATGCTTCAGCTAAAGTCATAGGTATCAATTCGAGTTTCAAAGGCAATATATTGGTGATCTCTTCTAGTATATGTTTTTTTTATTTCATAAAATTCTGCTATTTTGTTTTTCTCTTATCTTGCTGTTCGAATTTCTTTAGATCTTTAGTTAATGAACTTTCAGATTTTTTCCTTTTCTAACATAAATATTTAATGTTTTAGATTTCCTTCTAGGTATAGCTTTTGCTGAACCCATGAGTTTGGGTATGTATATTTGTAATATCACTGAGTTCTAAACATATGCTGATTTCCACTATAATTTTTTCTCTCATAATTTATTTCAGGATATCTTTTCTAAACAGCAAATACTTGAATTTACTAACTGGAGCCTCTTGTCTACTGACACTTAATCACCAATCTAATTTAAATCTGCTTTTTCTTAATTCTGTCCATTTTCTCTTCTCTTCCTCTTCTTTCTTTTTCCCACTTTGGATTATCTGAATTCTTCTTCTTTTCCGGGGGGGGGGTTATTCTCTTTTTTCTCTGTATTGATTTGGAAGTTAAACACCATTTCAGTATTTTTTTCAGTGGTACCCGGAAGTTACAACTTCTTTGACTTATTAAAATGTAATATTATTTTTATCATCTACTCTAATAATATAACTACACATGAATACACTTAAAATACTTCCCACTGCTATAAACCATTTTGTAGTATCCAATGTTACTATAACTGCTTCAGACAATCACATAATTTCAACAGGTCCACATATTAACTCTTTCCATTTATTCTTTTATGACTCTCCAGTCTTTCTCATGCAATATTTTCCTCCTGCCTGAAGAGCACTCATTAGTGTTTAAGTGCAGATTGGATGTAATGAATTCTCTCACCTTTTGTCTGTCTGAAAATGTCTTTATTTCACCTTTATTATTGGGAGATATTTTTCACTGCAGATAAAATTCTAGGTTGGCAGTAATTTTCTTTCAGTACTTTCAAAATATCTAAAGTCTCCGGGCTTTTGTTGTCAGTTTATTGCTGCTCCTTTAAAGACAATCTATTTCTATGTTTAAAGCATTCTTTTCTTCATATGCGATGCTATGATGTGCCTAGCTGTGAATTTCTTTGTATTTGTCTTACTTGAGCTCTGCAGTGATCTTTGAATCTGTGTCTTGATGTTTGTCTTCAGTTGTGGATCGTTCTCATATTACTTTTACTCTGTCTTCTTTTTTCTTTCTCTTCTCCTTTTAGAATTCAAATTATGTTGCATCTTCTTTGTCTTTTATCCTTTGTTGTATATTTTTTCATCCTTTTTCCCCTCTGTTATTTATTCTGGATATCTTCCTTTGAAATTTCTTCCAGTTCACTAATCCTCTCTTTGGCTTTTTTTTTTTTTAAAGTTTTTTCTCTCTTTCTTTGTTTTCTTTTTCTCTCTTTCCTTCCCTCCTTCCCTCCTTCCTTCCTTCCTCTTTCTTTTTCTCTCTTTTCTTTCTTTCTTTTGTTCTTTCTCTCTCTGTCTTTTCTATCTTTCTTTTTGAGACAAGGTCTCACTATGTTGTCTAGACTATATTTAAACTTTGAACTCCTTGGCTCAAGTGATCCTCCTGCTTCAGCCTCCCAATTAGCTGGGACTACAGGCATGCACCACCATATCCAGCCTTCTTCGGCTCTTTTAAATCAGCTATTAGATCTGTCCATTAAGTTCTTAACTTTAGTTACTTTATTTTTCATGTCTAGAGTTTCCATTTGGTTATTTTTTTAGCTTTCTACCCTCTGCCAAAATTCTCCTTCTCATCTTTTATATCTTTGAACACATCAAGGACAGTTATTTTAAAGTCTGCATCTACCAATCCTAATGTCTGGAGTTTCTATTACTTATTGTTTCTCCTGAATTTTATTCTATTTGCCTTGTCTCCTCATGCCACTAGTTATTTTATATTGTGTGACAAATCCCACACTGACTAAATTGTTTGTTTAAATAAATTGAGGTCTAGGATACTATCTTCCTCAAAAGATAATTTTTATTTGATTCTCCTAGACATCTGGGGCACTGGAAATTCTGAGTCATCTCAATCCAAATTCATGGCTACAGAGTATTTGAAGATGTGCTGCTGCTCATAGCAGGGCCTGTGTCTAGTTCACTTTATAGTGTAGTGTGTCCAGCTTACCCTTAGGGCAGAGCCCTGCAAGGTCCCAACCCAAAGCAAAAGGGCTCACCAGGTCCCCTCCTACACAGAAAATGAATTCAAATCTCCATTCCCCTAGTCCCATGTGGCAAAGGTTCCCAGGAGACAAGTGGCCCCAAAATCTGAATTCATCACTCTAGGCCTTTATCATTCTCTGGATTTATGTGTACACTCAACATAAGGTCATAGAGATACCAGGCAGGTGTGCTGGATGTCTACTATGCTATCAATTATAAGATGCACCACACATTTAATCGTTGCTTTTCAGTGTGTGGTGAGCGAGTGGAGAACTGCGCAGGAAAGACCCACAGTGAAATGTACATACTAATGGTCAGATGCTGCTTTCCAGAAATTAAAATAAAAGGATATTGAATAGGAATGGTGAAAAGAGCATAATATATTTTTTAAAAAGAAATAAAAAATTAAGGGACAGAAAAACTATTTTTAATACATTATATAGTAAATATAACAAGTAAGTATGTTTTCTTTCTTTCTTTCCTTATTTTGAGACAGAGTATCACTCTGTCACCCAGGCTGGAGTGCAATGGCACCATCTAGGCTCACTGCAACCTCTGTCTCTCGGGTTCAAGTGATTCTTCTGCCTCAGCCTCCCAAGTAGCTGGGACTACAGGTGCACACCACCATGCCCAGCTAAGTTTTATATTTTTAATAGAGACCGGGTTTGGCTATATTAGCCAGGCTGGTCTCAAACTCCTGACCACAAGTGATGCACCTGCCTTAGCCTCCCAAAGTGTTGGGATTACAGGTGTAAGCCACTGCACCCAGCTGTATGTTTTCTTTGTAAAGTAGTATCATTTCAGCCTGCAGAGATCCACTAATATGTCTTCACACCTTATAGTAAACCCACAGAAGATGGACCTTTTTTAATCGTCTGGTCCTGACATATAATGCCTGAGAGACCTAAGCCTAGTTGCAAGCTGTCTCTTCAGAATCTCTGAATATTCTGGTTATCTGATGAAATTTTATAGTAACGGAATTATGAAAAAGTATTCCTACTTGACTACATTATGGAAATGCATGCATATTTTGTCTATTCAAGAGCACGGATGTAAAACGTAAGGCAGAGAGGACCACGGTTCCATCCATCCGAAAGGCTTTGGATGTAGCCTCAGTTGTCCCTTTCTTCAGTTGTTGCTTCCAACTTGGCACATTCGGAGACATGAGTCAGCATGGCTGTCTGTGCTCTCCATGGCCACGGGCCAGCCAGACATCTTTGGGATCATCACCTACCAAAACAGTTCTTGGTGCCTTGTTTGCTTTCATGTTTTCTGTGGCATGAAGAAAAAAGTGAAGTGGCCCCTGCCTTCTCCCAGCATGAAGTGTTTGTTTATTTGTGTTTTTGTTGCCTGTGTTTCTGAGAACTTATTAAAATATTTTCCCAGACCAATATTCTGAAGCATTTCTCCTACATTTTCTTCTAGTAGTTTAATAGTCTTGGGGCTTACATTTAGGTCTATAATCCACTTTGAGTTGACTTTCATGTGAGGTGAGAGGTGGGCATCTAGTATTATGCTTCTGCATGTAGATGTCCGGTTCTCCCCGCACCATTTATTGAAGATACTGTCCTTTTCCCAATGAGTGTTCCAAGTTCTAGTGTTGTGTACCACTGTAGGATGGCTGTAGTTAATAACATATCATTTCAAACATCTAGAAGGAGGATATTGGATGTTCCCGGCAAAAAAGAAATTATAAATATTTGAGATTATGAATATGCTAATTACCCATATCTGATCACTCTCCAGTATGTGTATCAAAACATCACTATGTACCCCATGAATATGTACAATTATTATTTGTCAATTTAAAAAATAAAATTAGGCCAGACACAGCGGCTCACACCTGTAAACCCATCACATCGGGAGGCGGAAGCCAGAGGAGTCCTTGAGCCCAGGAGTTTGAGACCAGCCTGAGCAATATAGCAAGACTTTGTTTCTACAAAAACATAAAAATATAAACAAACAAATAAAAATTTAAAACAAAGCAGGTTTCAACACTATTGGAAAGATTTTTCCTAGCTGGCCATAACAATTGCTTCTCTAAAGCATTCCACTAGTCAGGAACTCAGGCAGCCACAGTAGGAATGGCTTGTCTCTGCATATCTATCTAGGACGTGAGCTGGCAAGACTCATAGGCTGGCAGTAACTCAATGGCTGGGGGCTAGAATCACCTAGAGGCATCTTCATTCACATTTTAGGTAGTTAATGCTGGCCATTCGCTAGGACATTGGTTAGGTCTGTTGGCAAGAACCCCTAAAGGAAGTATCTCCATGTGGTCTGGCCTCCCTCACACCCCTCACACAGTCAGACTCCTCACGGCATCTCAAGGCTACAAAAGTGAGTGTCCCCAGAAATCTAGATGGAAGTGGCATGGATTTTGCCAATCTCACTTCAGAAGTCATGTAATCTCACTCTTGCTGTATTCTAGCAGTAGAGGCAAACACACTTGTTGATGCCAGAGTGAGGAAAAATTTGTGGCCATATTTCAAAACCTCTATGCCATGTTCCTGTACATATATATGCAGTTGAGTATCCACAGGAAAAAAGGGATAATGAATGTATACCAAACAGTTTATAGTCATTATCTCTGGGGTGGAGAAGAGAGAAACTTACTTTGTTATATATATATGTGTGTGTGTGTGTGTGTGTGTGTGTCTGCACGTGCACATGTGTGCGTGCACATGAGTGCGTTATTTGAAATTTTTACAATTTTTTTTATTACTTAAAAAAAATTCAAGGCTGGGCAGGGTGGCTCACTCCTTTAATCCCAGCACTTTCGGAAGCCAAGGCAGGAGGATTGCTGGAGCTCAGAGTTTGAGACCAGCCTGGGAAACACAGCAAGCACTCTTTATGTCTATAAAAAATAAAAATAAAACCTTAGCCAGGTGTGGTGGTACATGCCTGTAATCTTAGCTACAGGAGGCTGAGGCAGGAGAAACATTAGAGCTTGGGAGGTTGAGTCTGCAGTGAGCTATGATTGTGCCACTGCACTCCAACCTGGCTGACAGAGAGAGACCCTATGTCTAAAACAAATAAGAATATTCAACATAATAAAGTAAGGGGATAAAAGAACTATGACAGAACTCCAGAAAAATACTTTTGTAAGCAAACTCAAAACATAAACACACGCCAGGCATGGTAGCTCACACCTGCAATTCCAGCACTTTGAGAGGCTGAGGCAGGTGGATCACCTGATGTCAGGAGTTCAAGACCAGCCTGGCCAATATGGTGAAACCCTGTATCTACTAAAAATACAAAAATTAGCTGGGCATGGTGGCACACACCTGTAATCCCAGCTACCCAGGAAGCCGAGGCAAGAGAATTGCTTGAACCCAGGAGGTGGAGGTTGCAGTGAGCTGAGATTGCGCCACTGCACTCCAGCCTGGGAGAAGAGCTAGACCCCATCGAAAAAACAAAACAAAGTGTGAACACACTAGAAGCTACTGCCCACTGCACTCTGCCTGTACTGGTAACTCAACCGAACAACTACTGAGCGCTATATAAGCCTTGGTGGTGCAGTTGGGGTGCGCTGGAAAAGGAGTGCTCGCCTGACTTACCCAAGGGTGCCATCTGCTAGCCAGCCAGTGGCACACACCGCAAAGGAGCAATCTTGGACCACTCTCCGTAGCTCGTCTGCAGACACCAAGTGAGCACCCCTGCTCTTGCAGGAAAGCCGAGCAGCCTCCAGGACTAGGCCCTGAGAGCCATTCTGAGACTCCAGCACAAAGAGCTTTCCTGTGTGGGGACAAGCACAAACACATGTGGACTCCAGGATCCATGGGAAGTTGGTCTCAGCAAACTCATCCACTGGCAGATGCCAGTCAGAACCACAGTCCTCGCCTGAAGGCCCAAATACAGCAACTACCACATGGCACACCATCCCTGGAACTGGGTGATGATCACTACACTAGTGTTTTCATCCTTTTTTTTTTTGTTTTTGCTTTTGTCTTTTTTGTTTTTTAAATTAACCATCTGCTCTGGTGTGTTGATCTGGAAAAGCCATTCCAATCTTTCTTTTAAAATGGTATTTTACAAATATCATGTGTCAAGCCTTCTCTGAGTGTCCTAGGCTTCTCTGAGTTGGGTCACTCGATGTCCAAGGCACTGATTTAGGCCCTGGCTCTGCTGTCTTCTGCCTCCCTTAGCCCTAGGATGCCCCCCTATACAACAGGTTGCTTTCCTTCTCTCTGTCCCTTGCCTTAGGACATTACCAGGCCCGTTCACAATACATTCATTTGTGTCTGCTGTACTTCTCTCCGACTGGACAGGAAAACAGGGATCATGTCTGGCACACCTTGGCTTCCTGCAGTCATTAATATATGAATACGTAGTGGGCCTCAAAGAATGTGTGATCAATGGGGGGATGGGAACGTGAATTCAGGCAGAGGTGAAAGGCCAGGCTGAACGCAAATGAGAGTTTTAGGCAAGAAAACCATGGTACCGGAGGGAGCGCTGAGGTCCCCAGGAGCCTCCTGGAGGAGTGAAGCAATGCCTTGGGTGGCCCTATCAAGCTAAGGTAAAGGCAGGGGAGAAAACAACTGCTTAGAATGAGACACCTTACTTCCATCTGTCACCAACTTTTTCATAATACATCAGTTATTAGACTAAGACCCGACTAAGACACAAGTCATCTGCTTGCAAAATTATTATAATGGATATAAGAATTCCCCAACTTTGAAACCAAAAGTTTTAATAAAAATACAAAAACATGAAGTAAACATATCCACAGGTTACTGGTACTCCTACACTTAACTATAAAAAGGTAATATCAACCAAACTGCAAGGAAAAACAAGATCCACAATCCTTGAGGAAATATTTAACTACTATCCCTCTCAGTAATTGTTAAAACAGAAAACAAAATTAACACTCTTCATGTAAGAACCTATGTGCAGTATGCATACAAAACTACAGAATACACATTCATGTTAGGCACATACAGAACGTTCGTAAAACTGATCAAATACTGAGCTATAAAGCAAATCTAAAATACCTCAAAAGACAAAAATCATTCAAAGCATGCCTTTTCAACTACAACAAAGCTAAAATCACTTATTTATGTATGAAACACTTACATCGTGTTTACTATGGGCCAGATGCTGTTTAAATTGCTTTATAAAGACTCATTATATTAATCCTTATGACAACTATGATATAGGTGATATTATCATCCTCATTTTACAGTTAAAGTTAAATATTAATACTAGTCCAGGATCACACAGCAGAGATACAAAACCAGGCAGCATGGCTCCCTGTTAGTGCTTTCAATGGGTTATACTGCCTCTCAATAACAAAGCAAGAACTAGGAAAATCCCCTTGTGCATGGAAATTACAAAATATACTTCTAAATAAACTGTGTTCAAAGAAGAAATCACAATTGAAATAACACATTTAAACTCAAGGGCCAAAAACTTGTGGAGAAACTAAAGTAGTTTAAGAGAAATTTATAGCCTCAGAGCTCATATTATTAGTATCAAAAAGTATAGCTGAGAACCAATCATCTAAGTTTCTAGTTCAAAAACTAACACAAAAGTCCCACAAAATCAAATCTTCTAAAGTAGGAGGAAATAACACAGAGCAGAAATCAATAAAATGGAAAGCAGACACACAATTGAGAAGATAAAGCCAAAAGTTGCTTTTTTCAAAATAATACTAAAATGGATAAACCCTTAGTAAGACTGACCAAGATAAAAAAATGAGAAAATACAAATGACCAATATCAAGAATGAGAGGGAACATCACTACAGATCCCATGGACCCTGAAATGATAATTAGAGATTATTACACTGCATATGCCACTACATTAGACAATCTAGATGAAGTGGGAAGAAACCACTTAAAAAACAAAACTTAGCAATACCGACACAAATTTAATTTTAAAATCTGGATCGTTCTTTATCTACTAAAGAAATTAAATTCATTATTTAAAATCTTCCTACAAGAAAACCTCCAGACACAGATGACCTCACACCAAAAACTAACAAACAAAAGCCCTCCCCCACAGAAACCCTTTCAGAGTTAAAGAGGGAACAATTTTCCACTTGGTTCAGGAACCACCATAAGTTTGATATCAACACTTGACAAGTATATTATAAAAAATGAAAATTACAGGCCAATGTATTTTATGAACACAGATTCAATAATCCCAACCTGTTTTCCTCACTCCAGGCTCAGTTCTAGGTCTTCTCACTGTGAAATTTTCCCTACGACTCTGTGCACACACTGATTTCAAAGACCATCCTTACACAGATGACATATTTTTAGAAATAGTTTCTCTGCAAATGTGTCTTCAAATATCTGTAATTCATCATAGTTAAGCTGAGCATTTCCTCTTCCTCTCATCACCATAGCATACAAATAACTAAATGTAGGAACTGGTGGTAGTTAAGAATTTAGTATGAAAAAGAATCCTTTGGTAATACAGCTTAAAACTCTTCCTGGTTCTAGTATAAAGGTTGGAGCTCAGAAAATTGAGTTACTTAAAAGGAAGTGTACCTATAATTGTCCATTGCGGAAGTGGGGAAAAGAAAAGGAAGGAAAATGAAGAAAAGGAACCACTTCTGGCAAGCAGTAACAGGGGGTCATGTGCTCTGATGGTGTCCTTACTTTCTCTTTGATCAATGACATTTCTGCCTTTAATTTTCTATGACCTGTATCAAGCTAGATAGGCACAAAATATTGATCCTTATCCACATGGCCTTTCACTTAAACAGTTACAACAGGGTGAAACTCTAAGACCTTATGGATTGCAAAAAATATTTATTTAAAAGGAATTAAAATTGGCACAAAATATCTTGTTGAAAACTTAATATTAGCTCTAATTTATTCTACTTGCATTCTTTAAAATCAGCTTAATTTTCAATGTCAGTCAAAAAACACTACAGTGAAGAATTATCGGTAGACTGCTAATAGGTATGGGACCCTTTGGGGGTGATGGAACTGTTCCGGAATTAGATGCATGAAAACCTTGGTTTTCACAACATAATGAATACACTAAAATACACTTAATTGTACATTTCAAAATGGCAAATTTTATGTGAATTATGTGTCAATTAAAAAAATTAACACTGGTTACTAACAGCCTTCAAAGTTAAAAATGTTTTGTCTCTAACACCCTCTCTGAGGATATGGAGAAATAAGACATTCATTCTTAATTAGCAGCGAAGAGCTTTTCAAGCCTGCACTTAAAACAGAGAGCACTAAAAACTCTTAAGAACCTAGAAGGTTTTTTCCTTGGCTTTCCCTTCTCTGACAACCATGCTTTTTTCTTTCTTTATTTTTCTTTCTGTGTCTTCTAGTTTCACCCAATATCGTTGGCTAAATAAGAATCACACTTTAAAGTATACAACGCATCCTAAATTGACGGAGGGCTTTTCTCTTCACTCAATCTAATTCGTCCTAAGCTAGAACTCCCTCACGGGTGTGAGAACTGCTGGCTTTAAGCTTGCTGCCTTCGGATGCGCCTGTACCGAGTCAGCGGGATTTTGTTCCAATATTAAAACACAGCTGAATTAGCTTTTCAAAATGGAATGGATACAGAGCTCCAATCATGCTCATTTAAGGCAAGTATTAAAAGCTAAATTCAGTCTCAAAAAACAAGCAAAAACTGGTTCAATCTCAGAGAACCTGCTATAATCTGGCCCTTGCCCTTTTCTTTACCTCATGTCTCAAGACGTCCCCACCTAGCACCCTCGACTTCAGGCACTTAGATTTATCATTTGTCCCATTTTTCCTCAGAGCCTTTGCACGTGCCATTCCCTCTACTCAGGCCACTCTTCTCTCACCCTTTGCCTCTCTGATTCCCACGCATCTTTCAGATCTTCCAGGACCACGTCAAAATATCCCAGGGAGTTTTCTAACCATCGGCGGTGTCCTCTGGGGCACATTAATAGACGTGGAGAAACAAGGACGGTGGAAAGTCACCCGCTAGCAGAGGACTTTCTATGGCACCTTAGAGGTGATTTCATTTGAACTTTCTTGGAGACCTTAGGAAAGACAGCGGCGGGACTGCGGGACCTGAGCGCTCGGCGCTCAGGGAGGGTCCAGGCACCAGGCGGGCGTTTGGGCGCGCGGGCACGGGGAGACTTGGTGGGCCAGGAGAGGGATGCTGGGTCTCGGGACCGCTGCTCGCTAGTTCCTCTAGGGCTTGCGCTCGCCGCTTGCCGGCAGGTCAGAGGCGAGCCGCGCCTTCCCTGCCCGGAACCCACGCTCCACCCCCCGCCCCGCCGCCTCCCGCACACTCACCATCCGCCCGCACCGAAAGGCGCGGCAGGCCAAGCAGGAGCAGTGCCGCCGCCCAGAGCCCGAGCAGGCGGCTGTGCCACCGGGAGGGCGGGCGAGGTCCCTCGGCGGTCATGGTCCGGGAGTGCGCAGGCCAGCGGGCTCGGTGACGGCTCCGGCTGCGCTCCGGTTGCCCAGGCCACTGCCCAGCGTGCGCCACTCGGCTTGCGCTCTGCGCTCGGCTCGCGAATCGCAGGCTTTGCGCCGGGCGCGCCGAGAGGGAGGAGCGCGGAGAGCCCGGGGAGTCTCGGGACGCTGGAGCCGGAGCGCCTGGGCCGCCGAACTCCCGGGGGGTCTTCTCTGTGGCGCCGAGGAGGCGGCTGTAATCCAGCTCCGCCTTCGCGCTGGGCACCTGGAAACCTCGGTGCCAAAAGGGGCTACGCCGCCGGGCCGCGCGCTCCGCAGGCTCAGCTGGGCGGAGGGCGCAGGGAGGCGGGAAGAGTGACGAGCCGGCCGCAAGGAGCCCTCGCCCGTCTCGGGGACCCTCGGCGAGAGGGTGACGCAGTCTGAGAGCTCGAGCCCCTCTGACAGGACCGTTAGAAAACGGGTGTCTAAGTCTGTCCTCCGCCTCTGTACTTTTCAGTTGGACTCCTCCCACTTCTTCTTCTTTTTTTTTTTTTAATGAGTAGAGGAAAATCTAACTTACCAACCTCACTCTAAGGTGTGAAACGCACGGAGTAGCGAAATTCCATTTTCCTAAAAGCGTAGCTTGACAGTCACTGAGGAAAAGACATCTTGAGGAACGCTTCCTTCACCACTCTTCCAGGTACACTCTAGTATTCCTCAAGGAGCCGCAAGAGCGCTCGCGAGGTTGTCACCGTTCACCTACCTCCCAAATCGGGGCTCTTTGACTTCGAAAGGCTCTGAGATTCGGATTTTGTCGGTTTGATCTGGGAATCTACGCTGTAAGTAAGTGTCCCAACGGATTGTGATACAGGCCAAGGCGGTCGGATCACGAGGTCAGGAGATGGCGACCATCCTGGCCAACCCATGGTGAAGCCACGTCTCTACTAAAATAAAAAAATTAGCCGGGCATGGTGGTGCGAGCCTGTAGTCCCAGCTACTCCGGAGGCTGAGGCAGGGGAATCGCTTGAACCCGGGAGGCAGAGGTTGCAGTGAGCCGAGATCGCGCCACTGCACTCCAGCCTGGGCAACAGAGCGAGCCTCCATTTCAAAATATATCTATATCTATCTATCTATATCTATATCTATATCTATCTATATCTATATCTATATCTATATCTATATCTATATCTATCTTTACTTAGCTCCTTCCCTTTTAACAGTTAGCTGGTAATCTAAGGACTGAGGCTTCACATGTCTGGACTGGAGGGGACATTTTAAAGCCTGGTTAGTGCACTCACTCAGGAGCTTTACCTAGTAACATTTTTAAAACAGTCAATTGAATATTACTACTTAATCCTACTGACATTTTAAAGACTCTGTTTATTCACAATTGTCTTGGCCTGTTCTGATGTGAGATGGCATGCTCCAAAGGTAATTGGTATGGTTGCTTTAGAAGACCAGCTGTTTCATCTAAACATATACCTGCCTTAGGACCCAGAAATTCCTATCCTAGGAGTATGTCCAAAAGAATGAAATCCTATATTCACGCAAAAAAATCTGTGCACAACTGTTCGTAGCAGCTTTATTTGCAATGATCAAAAGCTGGAAGCCATTCAGATATCAACAGATGAACAGAAAACAAACTCATATTCACACAATGGAATACTGTTCAACAATAACGGGAATGAACTGCTGAATGAAATACTCGACACGTGAATGAATCTCAAGGATAGCTGCAGAGTGAAAGAAGCCTGACGCAAATCAGTTCACACTGTGTGATTCCTTTTATATGAAGTTCAAGACACGACACAACTGATCTGTGGTGAAAACAGTGAGCACAGTGGTTCCCTGTGACGGAATGGGAATACGCGGGAACATCTTGTGTGATGAACATGTTCTGTATCCTCTAATGACCAGTGATGGTGAGTGCGTTTTTTTTTTTTCTCATATATTTGTTGGCTGCATAAATATCTGCTTTTGAGAAGTGTCTGTTTATATCCTTTGCCCACTTTTTTTACAGGGTTGTTTTTTTTTCTTGTAAATTTGTTTAAGTTATTTGTAGATTCCGGATATTAACGCTTTGTCTGATGGGTAGATTGCAAAAATTTTTCCCATTCTATTAGTTGCCGGTTCACTCTAATGATAGTTTCTTTTGCTGTGCAGAAGCTCTTTAGTTTAAGTAGATCCCATTTGTCTATTTTGGTTTTTGTTGCCATTGCTTTTGGTGTTTTAGTCATGAAGTCCTTGCCCATGCCTATGTCCTGAATGGTATCGCCTAGGTTTTTATGGTATTAGGTCTTATGTTTAAATCTTTAATCCATCTGGAGTTAATTTTTGTATAAGGTGTAAGGAAGGCATCCAGTTTCAGCTTTCTGCATATTGCTAGCCAGTTTTCCTAACACCATTTATTAAATAAGGAATCCTTTCCCCATTGCTTGCTTTTTTCAGGTTTGTCAAAGATCAGATGGTTGTAGATGTGTGGCGTTATTTCTGAGGCCTCTGTTCTGTTACATTGATCTATATCTCTGTTTTGGTACCAGTACCATGCAATTTTAATTACTGTAGCCTTGTAGTATAGTTTGAAGTCAGGTAGCGTGATGCCTCCAGCTTTGTTTTTCTTGCTTAGGATTGTCTTGGCTATGTGGGCTCTTTTTTGGTTCCATATGAAGTTTAAGGTGGTTTTTTTCCAATTCTGTGAAGAAACCACATTGAGATGCCATCTCATGCCAGTTAGAATGGTGATCATTAAAAAATCAGGAGACAACAGATGCTGGAGAGGATGTGGAGAAACAGAAACACTTTTACATTGTTTGTGGGAGTGTAAATTAGTTCAACTGTTGTGGAAGACAGTGTGGCGATTCCTCAAGGACCTAGAAATAGAAATACCATTTGACCTAGTGATCCCATTACTGGATATATACCCAAGGGATTATAAATCATTCTGTTATAAAGACACACGCACACGTGTGTTTATTGCACACTGTTCACAATAGCAAAGACTTGGAACCAACCCAAATGCCTATCAATGATAGACTGGGTAAAGCAAGTGTGGCACATATATACCATGGAATATTATGGAGACATAAAAAAGGATGAGTTCATATCCTTTGCAGGGACATGCATAAAGCTAGAAACCATCATTCTCAGCAAACTGACACAAGAACAAAAATGGACACAGAAAGGGGAGTACTAAACAATGGGGTCTATTGGGGGGAAAAGGGGAGGGCCAGTGGGAGGGGGAGGTGGGGAGGGATAGCCTGGGGAGAAAAGCCAAATGTGGGTGAAGGGGAGAAGAAAAGAAAGCACACTGCCATGTGTGTACCTACGCAACTGTCTTGCATGCTCTGCTCATGTACCCCAAAACCTATAATCCAATAAAAAATTAAAAAAAAAAAAACTAAACGCCGAATGTTCTCACTCATAAGTGGGTGCTGAACAGTGAGAATACATGGACACAGGGAGGGGAACATCACACGCTGGGGCCTGTCGGGGTATAGGGGACTAGGGGAGGGATAGCAGGTGGTGTGGAGCTAGGGGAAGGATAGCATTAAGAGAAATACCTAATGTAGATGATGGGGTGATGGATGCAGAAAACCACCATGGCATGTGTATACCTATGTAACAAACCTACACGTTCTGCACATGTACCCCAGAATTTAAAGTATAATTAAAATAAGTAAGTAAATAAATAAATAAGAAAAGTCAGAAAAAAGGCTAAAAAAAAGTTCCATATTCTGATGGGGATGGTGGTCACATGAGTGTATATGTTTGTCAAACATTCCTAAACTGTACACTTGAAATATTTGCCTTTAATTGAATATTTTTACTTCAGTGACAAATACTTTAAAAATCAGAAACTCAGTCTTGCCCTAAAGAGTAAAAAAGGTTTGATAGAAGAGAGTTTGATGAAAGGATCACATATGGTGATGTGGACAAGTCTGAGAGAAGCGATAAGGATGGTGAAACTCCTGGGTCTAGCAGCAGCTGGAAGCGGTAGCCACTCTGAGCCCTGAAGGTGTGAGGGAAGGTTCAGGTGTTACCAAACCAGCAAGAACTGTGGCCACGAAAGGGGCCGCCTGAAAGGGGGGTAGCCATAGGTAGAAGAAACAAGACGCTGCCACTGGTCTGGTAGGGAGTGAGTGAGGAAGAAAGACCCTGACCTCTCTCTCCTTCTAGCCCATTCCTCTTGACGCTTCCTATTGGCAGATCCATTTAAAAGCCAAACGGCAGAGAAGCACAGGTGCAGTGGTCCTTAGAAGTCAACCCGTTAGGGTGCAGAGTTGGGCAAAGAAGGACGAAGAGTGGATCTGGAATGGCCGATGGGAAACAACCAGAATGGATCATCTGCTTTTTTCTTTCATTTGAAGAAAAATAACAGGAAATAAAACAGGAGAAACACAAAATCCTGTCAGTCCTATCTTGTATGACCTGGGAATAATGTCAACTTGATCAAATTTCTGTTTGGGGCTAAACTGTGAAATTAACCATCAGTGGTTCACATAATATTGTCTCACATAAACCGAAAAGGGGAGAAATCACCAACTGTCACAAAATGGAGATTTTACTGTCCCCACTTCTATAACTGGTCATGAGGCCCTATTTGACCATCATTGCAATGTTCCCCTTTACTCTCTGAGCATTTTGGCCTGCATGAGTTTTTTTGTTTATTTGTTTGTTTGTTTTTGTTTAGCTGATGAGAGGGGCCTAAAGTTTCATTCTCGCCAAGGACTTACCTTTATTAGTTTGCCACTGATCATAATTATTGGATATGGGAGTCCTCTGAGGACTAGACATAGTCATCCCATTATGAAGCAGGAATCCAATTTCCACTTGGTAATCAGGATCAATCACCCAGTCAGCAAACTAGCCTTCTTTTCTGTCTGTTCGTTCTTCTACATGAGGACTGCAAAATTACCAGAGCGCCGTCTCAGCTTCCAATCTACAAGGGCCATTCCTGTTGTTTACTGGTGGAAGCATTTCTGTCATGGGCACCCAAACCTCCCAACTCACCGATGTTTTTTTTTTCTCTTTTCTCCCATTACTAAAAGTGGTATCCCAGCTCACTGATCTAAAGGATGTGGAGATATTGTGCAAAAGTGTGATAGGTGGGTTATTGTGTGTAATAGAGAGGTCCCACTTCAACCTTGGTCCCTAAACCAGTCTATTATGTCTATAAGAGAAATGACACCACATATTGGCTACTGGGTTAGGGCATATATTGTAACTGGAGTGAGTGCCCTAAACTCCGGGGTGCTGTCTTCCAGCTGGTATCCTAACTCTGACTTACCTTTCTATCAAGCCACATGCTTCTAGGTAAATAGCATGAGATGAGTCTACTGCCCCACTGATTTCTACAAAGTTAGTTTCTGGATTAGAGATAAAATAATGTGTGCTGCTATGGCCATAGGTGAGAAGACACTCTATACATCTACACGTAGTGGTGCCAGTAGAAGCAAGGCAGGCAAGGAAGGCAAAATCAGATCTAGAATAAGAATTAATTTCAACAAAGAAGAAAAAAAGAATTTATTCCAATAAGGACAAATAACTGCAGTCTCTATGAAAAAAAATATCCAATTTAAATAACCTTTCTCTACATAGCCAACAGGAGAGGCTGGCTAGGGAATAATGCCACGTGGAGACTCATGCTGGCCTCTGATATTGGCACACTGGACTCTCAGCAGTACTGGTAATCATAGGGGATCTAAAGAGAAGTTTGTGTTATTGCGCTCCTGCATAGCCTCCATCTCTGCCACCATGGTCTCTATATACATGGGTCCATCAAACAAGCTCTGATATGGCTGGAGAAAGAGGTGCTGATGACCGAAGACTAGGTCATCCTGCCTGCCTGATTATCAGGAGCCTTCTCTCCATTGACTGCCTCTGGTGGGCAGAGGATGTATATATATATATACATACACATACACAGGCTGTGCCCTTCTCAAGAGAACCACACTGACATCCTTGCTATCCATCTCCTAGTTCTGAACCTTTCAAGTCACTGACTGATGATTAGCCATTGTCCGTAAATCAGTAAAGATCCATAAATGAGGCCATCTTGCCTTTCATGTAAACCAAAGCTCCACCCGCTGGGAAGATTCTCTCCTGCTAGTTTTTACTTTTCAGTAGAAAAATATTGCTGTAATAGAAAATACATAACATTTATCATTGTAACCATTTTAAGTATACAGATCAGTGGCATTAAGAACATTTACATGGTACAACCGTCACCACCGGCCACCTCCAAAAGTGTTTCATCATCTCAAACAGAAACTCTGTACCCATTAAACAATAACCGCCTATTCTCTCCTCCCTCTAGCGGCTAGTAACCACTGTTCTACTTTCTACCTCTATGAATTTAACTATTCTAGGTACCTCATACATGTGGAATCACACAATGTTTGTCTTTTCACGCCACTGTTGTTTTTAGTGCTATACCAGTGTGAGGCTAACTAGTGCTACCCCATGGACACCCAAGGGTAAAGCAGGTTCAAGTTTTTTCTCCTCCATTAAGTAAAACTCCCTGTGAAGCCCTGGGTGTGGGTTGAGGGAAAGGCAGTAAAGCAGTGGAAGCAAGTGCCATAGGCGTCTAAGTCTCCTGCTCATGTAATTTAGATGTTCATTCCAAGCCTACTCTTGTATGTACCATTTACATTTAGTAGTAAAATTCTGCTTTGTGATTCAAAATATTCATGAGACCAACTAAGGTATTATACGCATGCAGTAACTGGCGGTCCAGCAGTCAGTCCCTATCAGAGCCAGTAGCAAGCTAGGAAATGCTTATCGTATGGTGAATAATTGACTGTACATGAAAACTGTAGCCGTTTTTACTGCAATGTTTTTGGTTTGCACAGTGCTTCATAAGGCATTTTTATCTGCCACAGATGCTTAAAGTGTTGTACCTCTTGTAACCTAAGGTCAAAGT